TTCAAAAATGTGAAAACTGGAAGTGGAATTTTGTGATGACTGTAAGTGGTCTTGAGAACACTAAACTGAAAATGAAAAATTTTACTGCTGCCTGAAAGCATCGCACCTCTGTGGCTGGTAAGGACTGTGCAAAGCTGATAGATGATTCACAGCTGTCGCATGTCATTTCAAAAGCAGCGTGTTTCTTAGTCACTTGCCAAAGAGAATCGTTCTCTTGGTGATTACTGTATATATTTTTGAGTTTCTGAATACCTGATATTTCTCCATCCATGGCTTTACTTTTCCTCTGGAAGGGGACCAAAACACATCAAAGTACATTATCAAAAAACACCAGCTGAGTCTGAACCCCATGTGGGCTGCTCTGAAAGTTGGTTCAAGTTTTTGAGTTTTATTCTGAGCAGATTTACTCCTCTCCTACACGTTCCGCCACAGGTCTGATACTGTATAGCTCAGATAAAAATATGAAGGATGCTGCTTTTCTTCTGCTAGTATATTTGCCCCAGTCTTGGCTTTATGGGTGGCTTTGTTGGTCACTTGTGCTGGAGGGGCCTTGGTGGGTAGTGGTGTAGCTGTTGCTGTGAGGGGAGGGGTTGGTTCATGCTGTGTGGCTGTGGACACTTAACTTTGTATTCTGAGTCATCTCCTAAGGGTGCCTACCTCTCTCTCAAGGCTAAATTATGAACTTGCTTCCTACTTGGGAGTTCTGAATTATAACTATGTTAAATACTTGAAACGTCATAAAGCAAACAAAGTAAATATCCCCCCTGATCAGATTCAAAGGAAAAAAAAAAGGCAATAAACATTTAAAAGGAGAGAAGGAAAGAAGTAAAATAAGAAACAGAAGATGCTATTTTGAGTGTGTGCAGTGTTCACGCTCATCAGTGTATTTATTTGAGATGACTCAGGGTTGGTTCTGAGAGTTGTTCCTTCTGGGGAATAGTAACTTACGCCATTTGGCACTTCTGCCGGGTAGTTGATGTCTTGATCTACCGTGGCAGCCTTGCAAGGGCAGTTTTTGTAAGACTTGGAAAGTTTTCTTAAGGGACATATAAAGGCTTTTTTTTTCCAGCATGAGGGGTGTATGATTCCTTGCCTCTGTACAGTGCAAAGAAAATTACAGTCCCTATTTCCCCCAATGGTCAGCAGGGTAGTATTGTGTGTAATCAAAATATGTTCCTAAACACGTTTTGTTCTTCGATAGATCACTCAGGTTTTGGTAGCAAATTTTCAAAATACTGTACTTGATCCTCGTTTCCTCTGACTGCAGAAGAGCCCTTTGAACTGCGGTCCTTGCTGTGGTTAGTGGCCGTGGCCTAGTATCTTTTGGTCTTGCAAACTGATTTTCCACATCAGGCTTGGAAGTTCCCTCATTTAGCCTCAGAAATGTGATAGGGCATGTAGGTGAACTCAGCAGCAGAGGCTGTTTCTGGTGCAGTCACTTCTAATGTCCTCACAACAACAGGAAGAAATAGAGCTGGGGCACTTTTTCCACTCTGCAACCTCTGAAAGCAACCACTGAAGGAGATGAAGTCAGGAGATAAAAGTGTATGTGGCAGCAGTTTCTTAATCACCCAGTCAGCTGTGTAATGAGCGCTCAGATAAAAATTGTTAATATATTCCCAAATATTTAAAACATTCTTTGGTTTTAATGCTCTGGCTTATCCTAAGTACGTTAGAGGGAGCTGCTTTTGGTTTGTTCTTAAGAGTAAGTAGTTAATGTTCAAGGCAGGTGTTGAAACAGTGATGGTTGCCTTTTTTGGAAGAGTCTGTTGAATTCTTTCCAGAAAAAATAACGTGCTTGGCTCACTTAACCTTGCCTTAGGTCCGTGTAGTAAAAATCCCAACATTGGCAGGCACAGCAGAACTCTGCACGCCTTTCTAAAACCTGGTAGTGGAACCAGCATTTCAAATAGACTTTAGATGTGATCAAAAAATAAATGATGATAAGCTTCATGTTTATTTAAAGATGTTTACTGTGTGATCATCTAGTGAGGGTGCTTGTGCCAGACTTTTTGGTTGCTCTGCTTTCTGTCTGTCGGTTCCTCCCTAGTAGGACTCAGTAACTTTGGGGTTCATTGATAGGATCTGTCTCGCAGGAAGACGTTTGTCATGCCACAGGATGATGCAGAAGGTTTTCAAGTTTTAATTAGTAATAAATGGAAAACCACGTGTATTCTGAGGAAGAAGCTGTTGTGTTAGCAGACATGTAAATATCTCAAATGTCAAATGAAAAATACAGCAAAACCGCACTATTGCAAGCTAATGCATTTCTTTGGTCAGTATTTACAAGGAATAATATTTTCTCTCATGCTTTCCTCAAATGTCTTAAAAGGTTACACTGATATTTCTTTACTCTGATACCATAAAAAATACCAGAAACATTGTGAAATAGTGTAAATGAAAAGCAATTACTGTATTTATTGGATAAACTGTAGTATTTTTGAGGTAGTTAAGGAGGTTTGTTCCCGAGAGCGGAATGCTAGCATCTGTTCAGCATCCCTGCAAAACAATAACGGGTTAAGTCCTTAAATGCTGCAATTTTTACACACAGGAGATTTTTTCTAGTTAGGCCAGGGCTCTACAAAGATGTCCCACATGTCTCAGATATAAAAGGCAGCATTGCTAAGAGGTGCTCTGTATGTGATCCCTGCATGACCTGTCTTGTGCTGTGTCAGTGTCTTCCTATGAGGCTGTGCACGCTATAAAATTTAATGTGTTAGGAGCATTGTAGAGATGCCCCATAAAACCAATCCATGTTGTAGCTGCTTCTAAGTGGTGGAAGTACAAAGTGAATGCTATTTGCTAAGTACATTTTAAAGATAACTGTGTTGCTCTCTTTTCCTAGTACTGTAGATTTGGGGGCAGTGGATTTTCTCTAATGGCAGAGTTCACTTTCTTATTTGAGAACTATGAGAGCATTGAGAGAATATGGTATATTCTGTGTTACACTGAATAAAGACTTTTCATTTAAAGGAAATGTTTTATGATATTCATATGAAAAACAACAAATAAGGAAGACCATTCAGAATGAAACAGGTGTTAGTTTAAACTTTGAAAACTATTCTGGCAAAAGGATTCCTAAGCTGTTTTTTGTGACAGGTCTGGTCAAATTGAACTCTGAATCTTAGAGGAGAGTATGTGATATGTGCATAATAAATGCTAATGTAATAGCTGAAGGCACAGGGAAGAACTTTGAAATTCTTTCTGTGTGCCAAAGGGTGTAATTTATGTGTCTACTTTGACAAATATTTGTAGGTGCTAAACAAACTGATATATAACATCCTGAAATAGTGCTGGGAACAATAGCTCTGGGGAAGGTAGTAGTTGGTTGCTGTTAGTTAATTTCTGTAATTGGAACCTGCTCTGTTCAATAATTGCTATTGATGTCTCTTGTTGTTTAAAAGGTTAGAGAGAGATTTGTGACCGTTATCCCGCTATAACGTGTAAATAGTACTCAGGACAGGTTAGAAATTGTTATGATATATTTTTCACCCTTCCAATCATCATCATTAGTAGTTTTGGATTTTCAGTTGGAGAAAAAAAAATATACTTTTGTTCCACCAAAGAAATCTGGGTTAGTAGAAAGACAGGGAAGGGGAAGGGGGAGGAGAGCAGCAGAGTGACTCAGACTTCTTCCTGGGCTGCTCTGGGGACAGCACAAGAAAATGGTACTTCTTTCCTGAAGCCTTGTCTACTGCAGCAGTCTGGAAGCAGGGGCCGTGTGTTACATCTGGGCAAGCACTGCTTACACACTACTGCAGGGAATATATCCAAAGAAAACTTCACTGATGCATTCAAACCTGAAAGCTTATTCGTCTTGCTGTGCTTTCTCACTCAAGCACCTGTTATTCTTGACTTAATGTTTTAGATCTTAGTGAAAGTGTGCATGGAAGGACCAGCCCGGGCAGGGCATGCAGGCCCCGGTCCGCAAGCACCTTGAAGGAAGAGACAGTGAAGTGTATGGATGGGTGGTGGCTCCTGAGGTTGGGCAGATGAAGGAATGCTCTTTGTTCACCACTTGCTATAGGGAGCTCTTGCGAGCTGACAGATGTTCTGGAAGTGTTGGCCACATCCCTCTGCAGGGACAGGAGAGCCAAAAGGTTGCTGTTGGGATGCAGTAAATCTGGAATGACTTGTTTATCTCTCAAGACCGACGCAAGTTGAAGCAGGTCCCAATCTGAGAGTCTGACCCTGTGCCCTCTTCTTTTCTTGAATGATGCTATTGCCACTCCAATGAAGTTGTATTTGAAAATCTTAGGCTTTCCCACAGGACCCGTTACACTTCTACTTACTGTTTTCCCATTTTGACTATTTTAAACAACGTTTTAGTTTTTCCAGTCAAAACCTGAGTTAATGTTAACCTATTTATAAGGATTTTTCTAAAGATAACTCATCTGCTTTATGTGTTAGACTAAAGCATTTCCTCGCTTCCTGTAAATAAAGCAACAGTAAATATCTTCCCTTTCTCTTAGCCTTTCTCTTTCCTTACTCTGTGTTTCTCTGTTGGCCCTTATCTGTCACTGAGCTTGGACTCATGTTCTTTCTGATTTGGGAGTTACTTCAGTGGTTCCCAGTTTTATTCAGCTTCGCATCCTTCTCTCCCTTCAGTTCCTCAGACCATCTTCTTCTTAACTCTCTCCTGTCTTAGTTTTCCTCTTGTCTTCCAGCCCTCCCCTCGCCCCCACAGTTCAGCTCCCCTTGCAGCACTGTCGTACCACTTCTGCAGCAGTACGACTTCGGAGAGTGGCTCAGAGCCCTCCGTTAGGCAGCTGCCACGTGCACCCCAACCGGGCTGATGGATGCTTCATTCTTTAAAAACATCTCTGAAAAAGGAATCATTATGCAGATGTTAAAACACGTGAAGTTTAGGCATTGTTGGAAATAAGCCGTAATCACCTTCAGTGAATACATTTGGATGTGACAGATTACATTGCTTAAACATGCTACCTGTCTGTGCGGATAAATGCACCACATTAAAAATATGTTTTTGTTCCCATCAGGTGTCTTTAGGTTCCGTTGTTCAGTTTGAGAAGGGAAATTTCTCCTTGTCAGCAGAAACGGAAGAAAAGCTTTTTCCTGAGAAAAATGAACATCTGCTACAGTGGGCCCAGAAGGAATATGGAGCAGTAACATCCTTCACTGAACTCAAAATATCAAGAAACATCTATATTAAAGTTGGAGAAGGTAAAACAAAGCAAAACCAACAGAATTGATAGGCACTTCTAGCTGGTGAGAATAAGTCTTGCTGTAGTAGTATTTCACATTTTTTATTTTAATCTTTAAACATACCTCTCATTTTCCAAGAGATGTGATATGAAAGGGGAAGGCAGAGAAATAAGAGCAAGACTAAAGACCAGACCTTGGATTTAGGCAACTTTTAATGGATTCTGGTGCCATAATTTTATGCTCATAAATGTGGGTGCAATTGGCCAGAATCTTACAGGAGTCAAAGCTTATTAGAAGTTTATTAAAAGGAATAAACTACTCATGCTGATTGTTTGGGTGTCGTCATTTAAAGGACTGAAGCAGAGAACCTGAGGTAGGGGGTAATTTCTAGAAAGACCCGAGTTATATTTTTTTTCAGTATTTGCTTGTATAAGGATCCAGACTACTTCGGGCAAAGAATTACTGCTTTCCTCACCAAGATAAGTTGCCTCAGTCTGATGTCCTTGTGTATTTTCATCCCAAGGAGCAAGATTTCCTGTCCCTGTGAGCCGCGTGCCAAATTCATCAGGTGGCCCAGGGCAGGGGGAGAGGACTCCAGCTCCTCAGGGATTTCACAGGCCCATATTAGGGTAGGGTTTGGGCTGTAGCTCTGTAGCTGAGCAGCGTTGGAACAACTTAACAGTATGAGCCTCTGCAGCACCTTCTGGCTCATGCTTTCCCTCAGCTGGCTGCTGGTCACATAGCGTGTCTTCTGCAGGGGAGTTCCACCTGAGCTGGTCATAAACCGTGGATAACACGGGAGCCACAGCTCTTCTCTTCACTACGTTCTTGGAGCAAGGCAATCGGTTCAGGAGGGTTTATGCCCTACTTATCTCTATTCAAGTTCATTTTCTGGAAAATACGTAGTTAGGAAAAGGAGCTTTGCAGGGAGAGCAGACTTTCCTCTACTGTGCAGGATGATTGGGGGTGAAATTTTCTTTTTCGCAGGTACGGGATGTTTTAAGCTGCCAGTATTCTTCACCTAATGGCCTGCAATTCACTGGTTTCTTTGTTCTCTGAAGATGTCATCCAAGTTCAGGCTAAAGCAAACATCCAGGTTTAGGCTAAACCAAAAGCAGCAAGAATAAAGGCTGGTAAAAGTGAACTGAAACTGATTTGCGTTGCAGGTAGTGGTCCAGATATTTTGAAACTAATTGCCTCTCAAGAAGTTCAGTGATGGGAAAAGTAGAAATCAATAGAACATTTTATCAACATCCACTGAGTACTGGTGGGCTCAGCATTTACTAGCACCAGCAGCCTAATTTAGTAGTACGTAGCAATATTGCTATTACTTAGCAATATTTCTAGAGAAACTCCTGCATAGCTGAACTAGTTGGCTACAAAATAAAACCCCAAAAACCTTCTGTGGAGAAAACATTCTTTCCTAACCACCTGTATCTGATCATTTGATTTCCTAAAGCATGAGGCTTGCCCCCCAAAATTGGAACATGCCTGTGTTGGTTTTATCCAAATCCTGCCAAACTTGTACAGGATTCCCCTTCGTGATTTTTGTTCTACTTGGCAGCAGTCTTGGATTTTAATGCCAGAAAATCATTCAGAAATATATTTATTAGCTTATTAAAGTGCTCTTGGAACGTATACAGGGGAGTAGTGGTCTCTGCGTTGCAGAGATGAACATTTAATTAGATATGTCAAAAAACAGATAAAGTTTTGTTTGTTGATTTGCACGTCTCCAGTCAAACTAAGCAGCTAAATAGGAGAGCTTTGCATCATCTTTAGAATGTGTTAAAACACAATTTAATTAAGAGTAAGTACGCAAAATGGAACTTGGCAGGCAACCAAAATAGACAGTTTCTGAGAAGGCTCCTACAAACTAGCTCAGCTGTAACCATATTTGATTTTGATTTAAATTCTTGGCAGAAAAATGAATATGCGTGTATGTGTGGGGGTTATGCATGTGTTCAGGGGTGGAGAGAGGGTCAGTTCTTGAACTGCGGCAGTCGTGCGAGGAGTTCTGTGGAAACCACGTGGGACGTGGACCTGGTTTGCTTCTCTGCAGAGTGAACGATGGAATCACTGGATTCCACAAACCACAACGTACGCTGATGGACATTTCAGGCTTTTCATACAAAACTCACGCTCCTCGAGTGCTTTAGTCAGGTACCCTCAGCTGCCAGTCTGTGAATCACAGCTAGTATTACTCATAATCTATAGGTGGTCATATGAAGTACTCCCTTGCTACATGACCGATACAGAATTTAATGGCAGCATTCATGTAGTTGTCTACATTTCAGCTTCACTCAAGTTAGAAAAATCTGAAACTGGAAGATGTAGTATTTTAGAAGTTGAGGCCGTAGCTGGATACAGCAAACAGAAAATGCAAGCCAGCGGACAAAAAGATCTGAAGAAGGGTGATCTTTCATAGAATAAAACTGCTTCTGATGCCATGGGCCTCTGAAATCACTTGAAGCTGCAAATGAAAGGCAGCTGAGCGAGCTAGCAAACTGGGTGAGGGCCAAGTGCATCTGAATCCTGTCAATTCGAAAGAGTGACTGATCAAATACTGCAGGGATGGTGAGCACAGTGAGAACTTAAAGGGGCCAGAATGAGGGTTTGGAGGAAGGGGGCACAAGAAGTGGGGTTCTCGTTCTTGCTTTGATTTGTGTAGTGAAGGAGATGGCAAAGTGATTGCCGTGATAATCACTGTCAGATTCTAGAAAGCGGGACCGCTCATGGTGAAAGTGATCTCAGTACATGTTTTCAGCAGAAGTCAGTTTAATTCCTCATGCTTCAATAATATACGATTGTACAAGTCAGGAAGACTTAACCAGTTAGCTAAATGTTACCTGATGCATCCAGTGCCGCCAGTGTAAATCCAGGGCAGATGTGCTAGCCTGGACGGAGCCTAATTTCAACACATTTCGTAGCTAAATAAGAAAAAATAATAGTCAACCATAACAATAACTAGGCTGGAAAATGTATAGTCTGTTTACAGACAGTAGCACTGTGCTTCTGTCCTGGCAGAAGCTGAAGCTTCAGTCCTGACTCTGAATTTGTAGCCTGTGCACACTAGTGCATGTATCCTGCACACTGGACTTGGTTTAAAACTCGTAGGTGATTGCGTTGTGTCAGGCTTTTGCTGTGTGTCCTGCTGGGGGGCGAGTACCGCTGAGAGTTTCCACCCTCCCTCCAGAGACTGCTGCAGCCCCTTCCCTGCTCGCATTTATACCCTGCCATTAAATGTCAGTCGAGGTTCTGATCTCCGTCGTGCTAAGGGCTAGTAAATTGCAAAAAAACACATGAAAAAGCCCCACCATCAGAGTGGCTGAGGAAAATCCCAAATGCCTCGCTTATCCCCAGCTCAGACTTTGAAAGGCAAGCTCTGCTTGGATGGGATTTTTATTGCTGAATCAAACTGCTGCTGCCCGGGGCGCCTGTCTTGGAGGGTGACACCTGATTAACAGCGACCATCTTCACAAAAACCTCCTCGTGATTTTAAGCTGGGATACTCAACTTTTACCCAATTTAGCCAAGAACCTGCAGATGACACCTAATTTGTGCAGAATAGAGCAGACGGTGTCTGTCCTCCTCTGGGAAATGGAGGTGCTGCCCACAGAAACTACAGATCCCAGTGTGCAGCCCTCCATCTTCATCCGAGCAGCCTGGCACACGCCGGAGGGGAAGGCGGCTGCCAGCCGCTGCGCACAGTTCCACCGCGTGCCTTCTGGCGAGCGGGGCCCCACGACACCCGGGCGCACTGGCCAGAGACCCTCCGCTGAGGGTATTACAGGCGAATCTCACGTCTGATTCCATATTGGGAGTCTGTGGAGATTAGAGAGGCACAGGGTCCATAAATTGACCGTTTGCTGGCTGGTTTAGTATGGTTTTTAATTGACTGCAGGCACCTGCAGTCCCTTTGCAAAGTAAGTAGACAGCCCTGAAACTAAAAAAGAAAAGAAGTGTAATGAGCAAAGAAAGATGAAATGGATCCCCTTTTCTTTTCTGTTCCAGCCCAGATCTCGGTAACTGGCACAGACAAGAGTAAATACATTTTGGTGAAGGGGGGAAGTAAATGTGTACGTCAAGTAGCAAGTGACAGAGTTAAAATTTGCTGCAGAGGAAAAGCGTGCTATCGAGCGGAGGCCCAGGCTGGGGAGCCTCCGCGCTGGTGGCGGCGAGAGCAGCGGCTCTTGAGAGCTCCAGAGACGTTTAATGGAAGTGCCAGGAGCAGGAACCAAGTTCTTTGCAATGGCAAACGATAGCACGTGTGGTAATTATCCACAAACTACTCGGAGGCTGTTATTTTATGGCTTGAATTGTGTTGTACGGCAGCTGAGAAGCAAATACCTAGTATCTCCGTCTGCGTGTGTATGTATATATAAATTCAAGCTCAGTGTAGGCCATTTGGGATCATTTTCCATTGTCTGCTGTTGAGGGAGGAGCTGGCAGAACTGCAGCTGCATTCAAGGCTAGTCTGGCAGGGCACATACCAGATGTTAGAGGAGTCCTTTGCTTGGGCAGTATGAATAGTTACAGCCTCATACAGCTTTCATAGACTCTGCAGGGAAGACAGCAAGGTTAATATTCAAAGACTACTTTGTGTAAGATCAGGAGAAGAAACTCCCCTAATTGTTTCCGCAGCGGCCAGGGTCACGGGAGTCTCTGGTCTCCCTGCAAAGTTGTGTACCACACACAAATGCGCTTCAAGGGTGACATTTCAGCTCTTATTTAGGGAGCAAATGCTAACAGTGGTCTCAGCTCAGCTTGTAAGACTTTGTCCACAGTTGTGCATGCATAATCCATTATATTTGATTTTTTTTTTCTTTTTTTCTATCTTGCTACTGATCTTAATAGGAAAGCCTTCTTTGTAAAGCAAAGGTCAAAGAGCCAGCCATTTGGAATATGCATAATCATTATATTTGATTTTTTTTTTTCTTTTTTCTATCTTGCTACTGATCTTAATAGGAAAGCCTTCTTTGTAAAGCAAAGGTCAAAGAGCCAGCCATTTGGAATTATATTCTTACAGGACTTTGTGTCTTTGAACATGATACTTAGTCCTTCTGTGTATTGTGACAATTCATATGTAACACTATCTCAGAAATACAAAGTATCCCTATTTTTCAATGGAGATACTGCTTCTTGGGGTACAGCAGTCTAGGCCGTGCATGGGAACTTCATACCGAGTGACTATTTTTTATGTTTTGCATTGTACACTAGTTAATGCTCGTGATCAGCAGACAGTTAAAACCAAAAGATTAAATATCTACTCTAGAATTTCTTAATTTCAGTTATGGATATTATGGTCAGGCTTCCTTAATATCAACAACTGATTTCATCCTTTTCTTGCTATATTCAATTTTCCATGCGCAAGAGAACTGCAGTATTTCTAGACAGCACTGACTCTGACTACACAATATATAGGAAAATATGTTGGGTAAGGAAATGGAAAATACTTTCTGTGATCTTTTAAATAGGGTAAGTTTATAATAACAAGAATAAAACATTTTCTAAAGGGAGAAGGAATTGATCACAAAAGCTTTCTATGAGTTAATTTCAAAAGAAAGAAATCTTTTTTTAAAGGTGTGAGGAACAAATTAAATGTATTTTATTCATTTTGAAAAATGCTCGCATATTTTGCTTCAGTATTGATTTCAGATTTCTCTTTGTAGGGATTTTCTTTCATTAAGTATTTAAGTCCGTAAATAGAAACTGTTCAGTTTAGAAGTATATATTTTACATCAGAGGTGTGCTGTGTTACTCCAACAGTGATCTCCCTTTCACTATTATGTTGATTTGTCATAAGTGCTTATGATAGATAATAGATATACCTTTTAGCCTAAAGACCTATGTCGTAGAATATAGTGCCACACTGAAGTAGACGCGGTACATGCATGCATGTAAGCTGATATCTGTGTGTAAAGGTGCATATATTCTTTTTTTTTCCCCTCCAGATCAAGTTTTTCCTCCCTCGTGCAACATAGAAAAGAATTTTCTCTCTTTAAATTACCTTGCGGGATACCTACAACCAAAAACAGCAGAGGGGTGCCTTATGCCTAACTTAGTCCAAGAAAGAGAGGTTCATATCATTGAACTAATCACTCCAAATTCCAATCCATACAGGTAAAGTATCATCTAAATAGACGAAATCTGTTTGAAATCACAGCTAAAGATTTCACCTGTCTATTGAAAATCAAGTGGAAGTAGCCATTTCATCCTTACAAGAAGAGCTTGGACCTTAGTACTTTGCCTTAAATAGAAATTAGTTCTTCACTATGTAAAGATTTTGGATTCTGCTTCACGATCCCAGGATTTTTCTGGACAAGACTGCAAAGCACAGTTTTTATGGGCTGTATCCTGCCCCCTTTCTTGCTCAATCAATCAAATTTTTCCAAGAATAAGGTGAATAAGGGAATATGAATAAGGGCAGCATCTGACAGGGTTTAAGATGGGACCACTGTATGAGGAGGTGAGAGAGAGAGGTTAAAAGTAATCTTGACCTGTCACAGGTAGGGATGACTGGCAGCAAGGCCTAGGGCAGTGGCTCCCAAACAGTGGTCCAGAAGTCCTGGTAACTGTCTGCGGTCCACGGTAGTTGTTCCACAGATGGCCTGCAGAATCATAACAGTATTTTCTGTCAAGTTTACAGTTGAGTTTAAGGAATAGTTTTATAATTGCAAGAAATATTAAGGGTTGACAGTAGTCCACTGACCAAAAACATTTGTAACTAGTGGTTAGGGAAAATTACTTAACTCTCTGTACGTGTTATGAGGATTATCTAAATTGTCAAAGGTACTGTAAACTTGGGAGGTAAGACATTTAAAACATTCATCCTTTGCTGGTCTTTCCTAGGTTTTAGTGGGAGCACATGGATGGGGTTTGCTTCAGATAGTCATAGCTGGAAAAGCTCTTCGTAAGTGCTTTCTTCATATGGCTGCTAGAACAGAAATTTGCTATGGAACTTAGATGGTTTTCCCTTTGCAAGAAGAAAAGTACAATTTCATCAGGGATATGGTAGAATTAAAATCCTGTCTGCGTACTGCAGACACTGGATCTTAGTGGGAGCACATGAATGGGGTTTGCTTCAGATAGTCATAGCTGGAAAAGCTCTTCGTAAGTGCTTTCTTCATATGGCTGCTAGAACAGAAATTTGCTATGGAACTTAGATGGTTTTCCCTTTGCAAGAAGAAAAGTACAATTTCATCAGGGATATGGTAGAATTAAAATCCTGTCTGCGTACTGCAGACACTGGATATGCAGCATTGTCCAGTTGTGTTCCTCATGCAGTTGCATTTGAGCACATCCCATCCCTAAGGAGGAAATAAATCACACAGGGAGATAGCAGTGGGAGGAGGGGTCTTTTGCAAGAAGGGCAGTTATCTCATTGCAACATGGCGAACCCAGAGCCTGGGAATATTCCTGCCTAGCAACCTTGGGAGAGTAAGAAAGTGCTGAGATGCAGTGGAAGTAGAGTAGGTAAGCCCAAATGATCTGCCTCTGTGTGGCGGGAGTTGCAGCCCCATCCTGAACAGAGCTGTTCTTTAGCATCAACATCATTAAGTCCCTTTCAGTGTTACGCAGTGACAGCCCTGTCTCCGAGCCCTCTGGGCTTTTGGCTTTGGCTGACAGTACGATAGGAATTTGTTTTTCAGATGATAACACTGCAAAATGTTTAAATGTTTTGTTATTAAAAGTAAAAAAAGTAGTAAGTTAAATTCCTCTTGCTTCATTCTTAGTTTTACGTATTATCCACAGCTATCTTTACAAAGTTTATATCCACAAAGAAACATACAGAAGCTGAGCTGGGCGTGTGTAAAACTTCAGGAGGTGAAACGAAGGTCCCAAGATACACTAAGTCTCAGTGCAGAATATTAGTTGAAACCTGTTACTTGGGGATGAGCACATTCTTATGACATATGGCCCCATAAGATGATCTGGAAGTAAAGGTTTTTCTGTTGAATTAATATTTTGCACGACGAGATGTTATTGATGGGTACAAACCCATTTGCTCTACTTATTTTACTGAGGTCTTGAAAATCTGGATAGTGTTCATCTATTTTCCAGCAAGCAGTAGGCTGGACATCTGCTTTTCTTTTCTTTTTAAAGTAAGTATATATCCAGAAGTACTGGAAACTGAATACAATGGCTTAATTCCTCAACACACGCAAGATCCTAAGCGAAGTAATTTCCACAATTTAACTGCCTAGGCAGAGACACTCCCCAATATAGTATTTGTGCATTTTTTTGGTATTAACCTGCTTAATTTGTCTTTTGCTTCTTTTAAGGTATTATTTTGAGCTTTAATACAGTTACAGCCAGAGGAAACTGAAACAGCTATATTTAGGCACTGTCACAGTGAAATAAGAAAACAATATTTACTTTATAAAGCAAACTGCTAGTCTTATAACTAACCTGCTCTAAATAATAGCTGAAATGAGTAGCACGCTTCTTGTAAACAAGAGACAAAAATATTATTTGTCTAAAAAGTATTTGTTTCTATTGTTATGCAAAATCATTTAAGCATATGTGGAATAACAATCTGTTTTGCACATGTTGTGTTGCCTGGGATAATCTCCAGCATTTTAATCAGCTGGCCAGACAGTGGAAACATGATGGATTGGAAGAAGGTTGATAGCTGAAAATTTCTGGCATTCTGGTCTAACTTTCTCTCTATTTTCCACATACAGTGCTTTCCAGGTGGATATAATCGTTGACATTAAACCATCTCAACCAGGCGCCAGGCTTGTCAGAGACGTCGTACTTATTCTCAAGTGCAAAAAGTCTGTCAATTGGGTTATCAAGTCACATGATGTCCAGGGAAAGCTGGAAGTGATTGTAAGTTAAGGCACCTTTATTTTTTGAGAGATACCATACTGCTACGGTATAGAATCCATTTAAAGGTGATATAGTGCTAGACCATATTGATTTCTGAATGTTTTCTCTCTTAGCTGCTCTTTTTTTTTTAATTATTACTGCATTTCAAGGAGTAAATACAGAAACTATATGGGTTTTTTCTCCTTTACTCTTAATATTAAACTGACCAGCACATCACAGAAGCCAGGTGGTTAGCGCAAGGATTTAGGGTCTATGTCTTTTCAACTTCTGTTGAAGTACCCTAAACACCGAGTTGGGTGTTCGTCTACCTTTTTGCTGTGACTTTGGCGAGTGGATCTACGGGTTCACCTCAGAAGTTGGAAAGATGACTGTGAGTGCAGAATGGATAACCCTAGATACGCAGCACACGCCCACGTCCTTTCAGAGGTGGAAACTTTTTTACTCCTTCCACTTGTGGTTGTAGTAGTCCCTAGCCCTCTTCTCTGCCAGCGCTTCTGCGGCCAGCAAGGGTTTGGTCAAATTGACCTCACCTCTCTGCGACCGCAAATAATAAGTTTTTAAAAAATTAAAACCAGGATCTCTAAAGCTAAACTTCTGAAACTATACTTACGCATAATTGGAGGTTCTGATTCAGAATGATTTTTGGTACAGGCTTTGTGGCTCAACACCATTTTTACTAAGGAAATGTGTTTTCCCTTAATCTGAAATAAATAAATAAATAAAATTGGACTGATCTTGCAGCCTATAAATGTGTGGCCTATTTCTGTCTTCAGTGATCAGTTAGGAGTGCATTGTACAGTTGAGCTGAATGTTTGCTCAGGACCACCCAGCGGCCTCCTGATTAACAGTTTTGCAGTAACTTAGATATATTTTCAAACTCCAGCTATCTGTATTTATAAGAATTTCACTTTGCTTAGTAGCTTTCTCCTTTTAACATGTGCGAGGGCAATTCTGACAGGATCCAAAGGCTGCTTGATCTAAATCTTCTAAGGCGACAGATTGGTAAGCAGGATTTCATGCTAGATTTGGAGAGTGAGGGATTTAAAAGGAAATAAATTACAGTGTTGCTCGGAAAATTGAATGGAAAAATTATCTAGGGTGGATGATGAAATTCCCTTTTGATCCCTGACGCATCTTTAGCTTATGGACAGGAAAGGATGTTCTGGTCCCTCTGTAGGTCCTAAATAATCAGCCCTTAAAGAGAAAGGGTAAGGTTAGTTGCCCAGGATTGTAAGCAGAAGGGCAAAAAACAATGCTTGACTTGGAAGTTTCATTCTGGGTTATTACATGAAGTTCACCACTGTATATTTAGGCCTATATGGGTCTACTTTCACAGGATAAGTTGTGCATTAGTTCACTTCATGCTTGGAGATAGCCAAAGTACCATATTTCATATCCACGAAGCTACCTCTTTATGGATGATGAATTTTCAGGGAGAGGAATTCTAGAGGATTTTAAAATGTCTAAAGTGCTGCACTTGAGTATAGAAAAGCAAGGCTGCTATTATTTTAAAGTTCTTCTTTATTAATTATTGAAAGTATAAGTAAAAAGTATAAGTGAAAATCATTTCTGTAACAAGTGGCAGAAGGTAACGTTTTATTTAGATTAACAAAAAGAGAAAGTAATAACATATATGGAAATGTCAGTATATAAAATACTT